ACTGTATAAGGCAACTAATATTTTTTGTTCTTACTTCTCTACTCTCATTAAAAATATTACAACCTGTTCTTAATCACGATTCAACTCTATTCAAAATAATTGTAGATAAACATCTGTAGCAATAATTAGATGAATTAGATGTTGTATCTTCTACTTACTTAATCTAATTTCATAATTTGATTTTACTTCAAATTATAACTAAAACTTACTGCTTTTGAACAAATTTTGTTTAATTCAAAAAGCCATCACAGAGTGAAAAATTTAAGACATTTCTGAGCATAATCAGGTATTTTTACAATTATCACGTAAACAATAGAATACCAGCCAGTATTAAGCTTCTGCAAAATATTATTAAGCGTTGATCAAAATCATTTTTTTTTTTTATTTTTATATGTCGTTTTTCTGTTTGCGAACTTAATATTACGTTCTTCAATTCATGTTCGTTTTAAAACTGATAATTTTTTCCTCATAGATAGGTAAGCTTTTCTAGATAAAATAAACTTTCCAAAGTTTTGCACCTTTTTTCAATACAAATTTTAATTACCTTTTTTAAAGAATTTAGTAATTGATCAAAATACTTTTGAAAAAAGTAGCTAAAACCTGATATATTTATCGCTTTCTGCATTGCATTCAATCTCGCTTTTCTCCCGGCGCATTTGGTTAATTTTACAATTGTAGTTAGAACAGTTTTGAATAAATTTTGTAATTTGTTGCTATTACATTGAAAAAGCAACGCTAACCTCTACTTACTTGCTGATTACTCGCCGTTTTTTCATTCTACTAATTATCAGCTGTTATGACTCGTTTATTATCTGATACTTTATAAAGATAGCTTTTATCATGCAATAGGTCAAATTTCTTTTAGTGTTAATGTTGTCGAAGACTTTTTGAGAACAGGCTATTATGCTTTGAAAACACAACAGTTGTCTACGTAATAATTAGTTAAGGTACTGATAATTCGGTCAGAAAAAATTGTAAAAAGAGCTCATCTTATCAGAAAAATTTCTAAATATATGACACTAAAATAAATGTAGAAAATCAGTAAGTTTTAAAAATTTGACGAACCACTTTTGTTGTTCAATTGTTATATAACGCACATTAAAAATTGGTTAGAAGACTGTGAGCTATCGTTTGACTAAGGTTCTTTAGACCAGACACTTTTGTCAGGAAAAGCACTATTAATTAAACATTTTTTTTTTTTATTTGCGTACTCTTTTATTTTTGCCAAACTGTTAAGCTGTAATTTTTCAAGAAAAAAAGCTAAAAATCTGCATTTAATGCTAATTCACTCAAAAGAATTTGGTTGTCATCACTTTCTTTTATCTTCTAATCGCTAACTACAAATTGTGACTAGCAGAGAAGAAAATAGTTTATAAAAATAGTTTTTTTTGCCAACCAATAAAGAAATTACAATCAATTGAAAATTCTATATTAGTCTTCGTCATGGTAAAAACATATGAAATAATTTTTTTTCTTTGTACAGTGAAGAACTTAGAAGAGTTGAGTTATTTACATAGCAACTGTCGCCTCTCAATTTATAGATAATTTAGAGAAAAATTATTGTGAATAGACTTTCTCTTTTTGTCAACTATTTTATTAAAAAATCATAATTCTTCCTTGTCATTTAGTTTAATGACGTTAGTCTAAATTTGCATCTAATCCAGGAAATCAGCTGCTTTTGCTCGATAATAACTTTTCACCGCACATATGAGCAATTGCTAGTTAGTTCTCGCTCATCTTGTTATACTGCACTTCGGCTACTTTTTTAGAAGGAAGGCTCATTTTGCATTTCCAATTTTACAATTATTAGTGGTATTGATAACTAATGGTAATTAATAAAACAGTTTAATTAAAAAGGTATTGGCTTTTTATTCTTCTCATTCTTCTGTTTAGTAACTCTGTTTTGACTGCTTTCTCGAAAAGCACTTTTGAAGTTTACCTTCTGCCTAAAAATGCTAGCAAAATTAAACAAACCAGAGTCTGTTTACTAAACAAATCGAGGAACTAACACATAAAATTGAGAAAAAAATTCTTTTTTATAAGAGTGCTTGAGAAGGAGGAAATGAACACTTTATCAGCCTATTACAGTGTAATTAAAAGTGACTTACAGGACGTCACAAGACTTCTGTCGATTAATATCCTCTAAATGTTCGTTCGCATTTCAAAATTTTATTTTCTAGGGTTTCTGTGAAAGCAACATTGAAAAGCGTCATATGCCTTTAAGTTACATTCTTCTGTTAAATACTGCACTCAGAGGACTGGTGTTGTATAATGGAACGGATAACAAAGCAGAGGACTTGAATGAATGTCTCGAACATTGTGCAGTAGAGCATTGTCCCGGATTTATGTATAAACCAAGACATGAATGGTGCATTACGTTTAGTGAGATTCAAGACAAGGAATCTGATGACTCAACTATAGCGTACATTCTGCAATTAATTACAAAATCTGCAGAACTCAGTAGGAAATGTGTGAAGAACAACTTCTCTGCTTACGGTTTGTTCAAGCAAGTAACAAAACACAGTTTCTAAACTCTTCATTTGGAATTACACCTTTCAATTTGAAAAGTATGGAAGCTTACGCTTTACATAATCTTTAAAACTATTTCGCAGCTTCTGCGAACAATAAACAAAACAAAAATAAAACAAAAACTGTTCTGTAGTGCTACAATTTTACATTTTTTTAAAAATAAAGCCTGTCTAACTTTCCAGTTCAACAGCTACAAACCTTTCAAAACTGTATTTCTGCTTCAAACGGTTCAACGACAATTCCTCAGCTTGGTACTAAAACGAACAATGCAACAACCACCAGTACAACTACTAAAATAATTCCATCGTTTCCGCAGAACATCCCACAGACATCCACACAGGGTCTGATATTTATGAACTTCAGTATTTGCGATAACATCACAACTGCTATTTTTTAGGGTTTAAACTATTATTTCAGAATTTAAGTTAATTAGTTAACTTTGATGTATAGTCAATTAGTCACAGATATACGCTCACTTCTCTGAAAAACACAGCAAGCGTATAGAAAAACATGACTTCTCTAAAACGTTCTTCTAAAAGCAATAAAGATAAAGCTTTCTTCAATTTTTAGAAAAAACGCAAATTTACGCGTCATGCGCTACAATAATTCTTCCACTTTCAGCAAACATTTCAAA